CCAGTCAAATGTTTTTTCTAAGACATAAATCAAAATTCAAAAGATATTTTCTTAGATGGCTAAAACCTTTGCAATCTAGTTTTTCTGAAAGTTCAAGATGCATTTTCACTTTCATGTTGCTGATCAAAGTTTTTTGTGTAGCGGAATGCTTGTTCAAGATCCATCAAAAGCGAATGACGTGGATGCAATATTTAATCAAGCTAGACAATATTTAGTTGTAGAAAGACTTCAGAACACCTTCCATCTTCAGGCTCAAGGAGCTTTACTAGAACTGCAAGACAACTTATAGATGGTGGCACTCTGCGGAGGTTTGATGATCCATAAATTGCCTCTTTCTTAGAGGTAATATTGTTTACATCACGATTTTACCTTTCGAATTTACAGTATTTGTTTTCATGGTTCCACATTTACTGTATGGTGTTCCTCGCTTGAGTCAAGTGAACTATTTGCTTAGAGAATAAATCAATAAAAATCCTTTGTTGTTCAACTTTTTTTAATATTTTATTTGCTTTGTTGTTCAACTTTCTTATACAGTGATATATGATTTTTAAAGTTAAATTGATGGAAAACAATTTGATATAATAAATTCAATAGAAAACTGTTGGATTTGTTGAATTCAAAAGAGCACATCGTTTAAGATAGGATATGTTTGATCTCTACCTCCCTTATGAGCTCAGTGATATGTCTTTGGGCACATTCTGTATGTTGTAGAAATTAGAATCCTACTACTCAAACCTCCATTTCAAACTAGTTTATCTGATATCAGCTATCGAAAACAAACACCGCTTTCAAGAAACGTACATCTTACTAGGAGACCCTAGATCCACTCAAGATTTTTTTGATAAATAAAACTCACTCATGATTTTTTTGATAAGTAAAATCCACTCATGATTATTATTTTGAAAATAGCCTCTAGATCAGATACATGACCGTTCATGCATAGTATTTATCTCTACAACTTGATAGCTGCTTCAAACACTACACCTTCTAGAAATGAATTAAGAGGTCCGTTGTATAATTTGGAAAATGTTGTGTTATTTTAATTGAATTATGAGATCGCCTCTCTTTTGTTCTGCATGGGTGATAACTGAGTGAATCTTTTTTGTGTTTGTTTTCTTTTAAGTGCTTCAAAGTTGGTCTTCTAGTTTTACATTTGTGTCAAATTTTGAGAAGTAACTTTACATTTATGTTATTATCACAATCATGTTCTCCTCTACACAAACTCCTTGTTACAAGGTAGTAGCAATTACTGAAATTGCTATCCGAAGGGAAATATAGGTGTATAGATAAACAAGCTAATGGATACTTCTGGTTGAAGATCATAAGAGTATTGTGATTTATTAAGGAAAATAATCTCTGTGTCACTTAGTAACTTGAATTGGGTCTTTTACTGAAGTCATGAATTCCAAAGACCAGTAACCTATTATTTGATGGAGCTGATAAATTATATTGGAATCTCTTAGCTGCTCCACCAAAAGCATACATCAATAAACCATTTATTGTGTCCTTGCACGTCATAGCCTGCAACTTTTGTTAATTTCATGTTGATGTATGTTGTGCCGTATACAATTGAGAAGTTCCCGCGTCCACCCTACCCAAGGACAAATAAAGATGTAAAAATAGGATATACATTTTCAGAACTGTTCTCTCCTTAAATTTGTAGTTGTAGTTCCTCTTTGGCACAGCGGATTAATATCAGTAATCAGTGTCATAGTCTGAGATTTTTCCTGAATCTTGTCTGTTAACAAGCATCCTTTGTTAAATTTGGATCAATAAAGCAACACTGTATCGTGATCTTCTTAAGCCTTAAAGTTTTTTCTTTTCTTGCAACTTCAGTCAATCAGAAAAGGAGGATCGATATTCATCCTTTATTGAATTTGGATAAATAGAATAACACTGTATTGTTGGATGTGGACTAATATTTGGTATAATTTCAGATTCTCGTTGCAAGGCAGAACCACCACTACAACTGAACTGAACTTTATGTGGTGGCATATATTTCTAACTGTATTGTACCTATTTTTCACTCAAGAAAAACAATACTAAATACTGGTCGATTTCTTCTAAGAAATTTCACTCAACTCAAGAGAGGCTGAGTTGAGCTTGAGCTTTTATAATGGTTCAGGACAGTATTCTTTCCCTCCTAGATGCTGCTGCTAATGTCAATGGTGCAGCAAATCCTGTTGGACCTATTAGCATTGTTGATCCTGCCAGAAACCTAGTCGCTAAATGTGATCAAGAAGCTCAAACAGATCGGGTTGTTGCTATCGCCTGCCACCCCCGATTTGTACCTAGAAGGCTAGCTCCTCCTCTCCATATTCTTTCAGACTAGACGATCGAGACCATGCCATCCTTATTGCGGCTGCTAACTTCCCTCTCTAACGGATTACCGAGCCCAGGGAATCCACCTTCATCCCTTGCTTTATCTCGGTCCCGTACTACCTCAACCAGATGGACCACATAATGGTGTCCACCAAACGCTGGACAGACAATTGCATGGGCTGGGTTCCCCCTATTGTCAGATCTAGATCTCCATTTTGCTCTATTTCCAAGTGATCAAAGCGATGGATTGCGCTGAAATTCTCTGCGCTGTCTCTAGCCTCTAAATCTTCTTGAGAGAGCTCGAGACTATGTTTCCCTTTACTAGTCTATGAATTCCAGGACTTCTGGTCTTCACATTCACGAATTTAGTGCACTTCTCTCCTAGTGCCATTGGTAAGTTTGGCAATGTGTCTTCCTCTCTGCTCGCCACACCCGAGTGGACTGAGGCTGATAGATCTCCTTCAATAGTAGATTTGCCTCGCACCTTCCCAATATCAGCATCTTCATCTCCCGTGTAAATTCCATCTGCAGTGCTGCTACTTGACTCGCTGTCACTGAAGCTTTATTTCACAACGATGTCGATGGCCTAAGATTCATGGCTACCTTTTTTAGCCAAGCTTGTGTGCATGACGAAAATGAACTGATCAATGTTGCTTCTCAAGAAGCTTCATTCGCATATGCCTGCAGTCTTCGCCTTTTGTAAGATGCTTCCACCTACCTCAACTTTATTGATCTTCCACCTCCCCTGAATATCAACATAGATCATGTTGGAAACGAATAGGTCTCTTCCTTGATAATGAATAATAGTTCATCTTGGTTCATAATGCTAGATGCTATGATAGCCAAGTAATGCCAATTTTGGAATTCTGATGTCCCCTTTCTGATTGCTCACAGAACTGCTCCACCACCGGCTCAATCCGCTGCATAGCAATCGGTGGAACCAATGTGTTCCAAGGTCCTATCTAGACTAATAAAGTCGGTAACCATAACTGCTTCCAGCACGGAAATGCCAACAAAGTTGGGCACTACACCATGCGCTCTAATCTGCGCCTCACGTTCAAAGCCACCACCACCATCAAGGACATTCCGGAAGCTCATGTCTATGCATCTCTGACATATCACTTCAACCTCTCCCCCAACGATGTTGGTCTAGCACTCAACGAAGGTCCATTTTGCGATGTTCATCCCATGCCTACCAGAAGAATGGAATCCAAGTTTATCAAGGCATTATGCCCACAATTGCTTGGGACTACCATTCTGACCGTGTATCGACTCAGAGCACCAATGAAGTGCGTGTCCCCGTCACCTTCCTTTTGCCATCATTTTAGGCAACCGGAGTATGTCGTTCCTTCAGAACTTTGCGGGCCTTTTTGTTGTGATGACCTGGCCGATCATTTTGTGTATTTGAGCTTTGTTTTCCTATTTGATGTTCCCCCACTACTAGAAATTCGCTAAAAACCGACCAAAGTTGGTCGGTTATGGCCAATTACCGACTAAAATGCGACCATTAGGGTGTGGACGGTGTTTTGATGGTCGGAATGGCTTACCGACCAAAGTTGGCCGGAAAATACCGACCAACGTTGGTCGGTAGCTTAAAACGACCATCTGACAAGTTTAAGTACTTACCGACCAACTTTGGTCGGAAACATATTTTATTAATTTAATTTTACCGACCAAAGTTGGTCGGTTTAACTAAATTATGTTTTTTTTATTAATTATTAAAATTTAAAAAAACCGACCAACTTTAGTCGGTAATTGAAAATATATATTTTTTTAAAATAATTAAAATTAAACATTACCGACCAACTATGGTTGGTAACCTCAACAGTGCAGACAAAATACCGACCAAAGTTGGTCGGTAATGTTGAATTCTGGGAATTCAATGTTCATTAACCGACCTACTTTGGTTGGTATTTTGGAATAAATTTTTTTTTTTTTATTAAAATCGACCAACTTTGGTCGGTTTTTTTGGGTTTAATTTTGGCATAAAATGCCTATTTTGGCAGCTACACCACCTGCCAGCATACCAATACACCTAATAACAACAACAACAACAACAACAACAACAACAACACAACAACAACAACAACAACAACAACAACAACAACAACAACAACATCCAAAACATTCAACAAATACTTTAAAACTAATAAATTAAAGTTCAATTGAACATAAAAATCCAAAACCAAGTTAAAACTAATTACAACTAGTTCAAAACTGGTTCTATTTGTCTAGTTCAAAGTATATAAAAGTCAAGGGGTATTTTCTACAACACACTACAGGAAATATGATCTACGACGACATTTTATAAATGTCGTAATAAGTTACATAAATGTCACAAAATCGCTTTCCGACATTTATTTGACACTTAGTCCAAATGTCGTAAATTTCAATGTCGTGAATTTTCTGACATTTATTTTAATGCCGGAAAAAGATTTACGACATTTATTTATTGACTTTTATGAAAATGTCACTTTAAATTTTGTGACATTTCCCATAATGTCGATAAGTTAATACTGGTTTCTAACTTATATTTAGAATGTCGGGAAATTCTTGAGTTATTAGCGACACTTGTATAATGCATATATTGCTAATGTCAAAATTACTCATTGACATTTGAGAGGACAATTATAATATAAATATAAAACTAATATTATACATTGCTATACATGAAAGTATAAATATCAAATTTCTAAAATAAATACCTATAAATGTCAATAAATATATATAATTTGAACTGTAATAAAATAAGTAAACAAAAAATCTCTGTAACTAATTACATCAATGTATTTGTGAATAGCAGCACATCCTTACAATTAAACAATGGTAGAAAGAAACTATTAGGCTCGATACAAGCAAATTGTAGCAAATTCTGCAACAGATTTTTTCACTTCCTCAACTCTTTCTTCCACTTTTTCTGCTACATCCCTTCAACTCCAATTTCCTTGCGCTTCCACCCATTTGACACTCTATTGAATTGAGACAACAAGGTTGCTGAGGTAGTCAACCTATGTTTTCATAAATTAGGAAATAAATTAGCAAGTGATTGTGAGTCAAAAGAAGATCGCATAATCTACATGGAAGAACGATTTAATAAAATGAATTTATATAGTGCAGCGATTGTCACGAGTATCCTTATAAGATTACTAATTGAAGTATTCCACAAGCTATTTGCCACCAACAAACAAATTCCCTTAGTAAAAACACATAATTTTAAGAAAGAAAGATGTCATATGGCCATCAAATTTACAAGGACCTTACCATAAGTTGCCACACTCTGGACTTTCTCACTGCAACCCCATATCACACACACAAAGTCCAGTACATGTGTGCTACCTTATTCTTCACCTAATCAACCAGCATAGCCATCGGTACATTTCAACCTAGTAAATTCTAAAGATATTCGACCGATTGCATAATTTCCGTAGGGACAAAAATAATTAGGAAAGTAGATAGCACCCTATATGTAGATATAGCAGACTTATCATTATAGCATTTCTCCTTTGAAAGGCAAGAGTTAATTACCATACTGTACTAACTAAACAAGCCCTTAGTATATAAAGCTAATGATACATATGAATGTGAAGTTTACTTACTAGCATTCTCCTTCTGTGCAAGATAATATTTTCATGATATCTGATGACTGCTTAATAGGATCATGCAACTAACTAGTTTATTAAGTGTACAAGAATAAATACCTGGTAACATTAAGCCCCAAAACTAGTACATCTCTAAGTTGAGCTCTTTGTAGTACAACGCGAACCCAAAGAGAAACATAAGACATTTAAGGGACGCAAACAAACTTAACGTCATATCTTGACAATTTAACTTAAAGGAAGTCGTAGAGAATTTGAAAAATCCTTTGTTGCTGACTTGCACATCATTGAATCAGTTAAGAATTGAGGAAAACTCATCAATTTAGTTCATATTTTGAAATAAATAAACAATAGGGAAGATTATAGTGTTTAAGATGCTCTATCAGGCATTTTGTCAAACAGCCGTAAGGCATAAATCTATGAATGTAATACCACCATTAGCATATTGTGTAATAATACCCCACACAACCTCCATTCAAACAAACATATCTCCAAATCACCACACGATCACAACCACAAAATAAAATCAGAACATAGATTAAGCTTCAAAACCCTAAACTCCCAATTCCTCTGTTGCAAATACATAGGACACAGGCAAATGCAATAAATATGATTGAATTCCTCTGAGAAATCAAAACACTCACAAGAAATAAGGAAGAATTCGAATCCAATCAAGATATAAAGAAAAATGCTAACCTAGAGTTATTCCAATGCGCAATAGACAAAGAGAAGGAAATAGGGAATTAACCAAGAAGAGAATACATTTCAAACTGCTATTCCTGAAGGATTTTGATATTCATGGTTGGGGTGTAAGGATTCGGACGAGATAGAGAAACTGGGGAGGGGGAAAATGAACTTAATTGTTCTAAGAGAGGGAGGTTGCGGAGTAGGGTTTTTTAGAGATTTGAGAGGGAGATTTGGAAAAAACAAATTCTCTTTCTTTTTTAAAACTAGTAATTTTTTTGACATTTGTTGTACATATCACTAATTAAATGTCATTTTATTTTTAATTATGTGACATTTCTATCAAATGTCACAGTATTTCTGTCATTTGTCATCAAATGTTAGTATTTTTGCCACATTTTGTTAACAAATGTCACGAAATGAACCTTTTCCCTACATATATTATAAATGTCACTAATTAAATGTCGTCATAGCTCATATTTCTTGTAGTGACATCATCATCACCGTCTGATGAACTTTCATTTACAAGACGGAATAGAGAACGGTCTTGTGGAGGACGGGAAGAACGATCACGGGGAGGACGGGAGGAACGATCACGAGCAGGACGAGAGGAACGATCACGTGGAGGTCGACCCTCTGGAGATGACTCACGAGATCGGGGCAACTGAAAAGCTCCACTAGATAGGAGAGTTCTGATCTGAGCTTGCATGCCAAGGAATTGAGCATCTCTAAGCATTTCTCTTTCCTTGGCCGCTTCTAGCTCGGATGTGAGCTTTGTCGATGTCTCCCGCATAACGGAGAGGCTATCCCTATTAAGTTGCTCGCCTTGCGAGGAAGTCCCTGTTCCTCGCATTCCACACTTATAGCGATGGAAGTTTTTAGTAGGAAGCCCGTATACCTTCCCCCATTTTGGACCGCCAACAAACTCCAACCATATTCTTTCAGCAGCCTCGTCCGAAGGTTGGGTTGGCTCACCCGATTCACCAGCTGGATGACTACAGATGAATTCCTCCACGTTAAAAATTAAATTAGTATTTCAAAATTTTTATAAAAGTAAATTATAATGCTTAAAGAAAATTGAAAGCTTACATATGTTGTCGAGGCCCGGTCCTCGACCGACCTATCTTGATCCCCCTCTTTCTCCTTCTTCATAATATGCGTCTCCTTGAATAGCTCATCATGACTCATTGGACGCCCATACTTCTTTTCCTGAAAATAAATTAATTTAGTTAATAAACAGAATAGATATACTTAGAAAAGTAAAATAATTTAAGCAATTACGTACCAATTTTCTTTTTAATGTCCCTAGACTGATCGCATCTCCAGTGTTCAAGGAGTCTCCCTTCTCGGGTGCGCGAGATTTCTTTCCTTTTTCGCTCCTCTCTAAGAACTCCGTGGTAAGCCATTGCCTTTGCAAATCATTTCACAAATTCTCAAGTAACCAGCCAGGCCTCTTGTTCTTCTTTCTAGCATCCGAGAAAGCATCCGCCAATCTCTTTCTAGTTAATTCAAGATAATTATTTTTTTCTAATTACACCAATTTATATCCTAAAAGTTCAATTC